AGTCCAATTTATCTTGCTGCCGCTTACGGTCTCTATCACACTTAGCACGCGTAGATCAGTAGTTAAGGTCTTGAAGCCTTTGAAATCATCATATTTCAGAAGAACCGCGCTTACTGACTGATTCATTCCAGACGAAATAGTAACACTCCTTGCTGGCCAAGTTGTAGAAGGTCAAATTAAAATTGGAAAGACGACTCTGGTAAAAAATTGAGCTCTCCTTTAATATAGGAACGTAAATTACCTGTTGCATGTAAAAACACCTCAAAGAATACTACTATTTTGTTTACAATTTTTTTTTCTCTAGCACAGTTATCTTTTCTAAGATATAAGTATTATATCTTAGTTTTCATTCGGCTTTGGTATTTTCATCACCTCCCAGATATGTGACACATAGGGAGCACTGGTCCTTCTTTGGACTAAAAAAAGATAACTTTTGCCTCTTGAAAATCTTCCTATATAAAGAATAGCTTGGAAATTTGTTATCTCCTTTGAGTTTAAGTTTTTGGAGGAACATCTCAAACATTTTTCTCAAGGATAGATCTGGGTGAAGATACACTTGTGGTTTTAGCACGACAATAGTGCGATTCGTGGAAACCTATTAATGTGACTTTCTATTTCTGCGTCTTCCTCCTCTCCGTTCTTTCTCTAAAACGCCTACCTCGTTTATTTTGGATATAGCAGTGCGGCACATGCTTTCCGAAACACGTAGAGTATTAAAAAAAATAATTTTACATACCCTACAAAACTACTATAGTATCGGCGATTTACATCTTCAGCGGGAATTTTTGGAAAGGCACATAAATATATTAAATTATTCAAAAATTTCTCTTCTTTTTTTATCGGATTTGGAAGCACATACGATTTTTCTGAAATTTTTTTGACGTGCAACGTGCTTTTATGCATCTAGCCGGAACGACCTTTTTGGATTATGCGCTCACATTCACCTGTCCCATATTCCGTTGAAGTGCGTTTTCCTCCCTATCTGCTCCATCAAAGGATTCTGGTAGTATCTTGTGCCTAGGCAACTGTTGCCAACATTACATTACAGCTGTAAACACGTAACAACATTACATTACAGCTGTAAACACGTAATTTAATTTTAACCAAGTTCAGAGAGGGCGCTTCATTTGGCTCCAAACTATATACTCTTTAAGATAGTCATCTATTGGTATGGTTTAGGGTTTGGTCAAATCGTAATATTTTTACCCAAGGAATCTGCAGTTTTACTGTGTTCCATTAGTTATGGGATACCCTGTACATGACTGTATATGACAAAGCGACGTATATGTTCATTAGGGTGATTCATTTTAAAGCAACATTTTTTTTTTCAAAGTCCCACCTAAAAATTTTGTAACCGGTCAGAAAACAAAAATGTTGAGCTATTACAATGCTCTTAATCTTTATTTGCTATTCAATTTATAAATATTTCCCTTTAAAAACCATTAAAAAACAATGTTTTATTCTTTTCTTCTTCCGCTCGTACAGTAAGAATATTTTTTTCGAATTTCGGTTTTAAAATCTTTATACAGGATGAAATTATCTTCAAAAATGTCCATTTAAGCAAGTCTGTAAGTTGAATATGTTCTTCACAAATTGTCGTTCTACTCGAAAATCTTCTAAAATAGCAGTAAATCGTATTTGGAGACTAAACTATTGATTGTAGATGTAAATAACAATTTTATAGGGAATTTTTTGCCCTACAAATTTGTTAAGAAATATTTTTCTGTATCACTTATAGTTTAGCTTGTACAGCCACTCTTTCACGTAACTCTTATAGTATAGAACTATAACTTTATTACAGTCGTCAGAAAGAATTTGACACTTAAAGTGGCTGTACAAGATAAACTTTAAGTGATACAAAAAAATTTTGTGACAAAATTGTAGGGCACAAAATTCCCTACAAAATTGTCATTTACGTTTTTTATCTACAATCCAAAGTTTAGTCTCCTAAAACGATTTACTGCTATTTTAGAAGATTTTCGAGTAGACCGGCAATTTGTGAAGAACATATTCAACATACAGACTTGCTTAAATAGACATTTTTAAAGATAATTTCATCCTGTATAAAGATTTTAGAACCGAAATTCGAAAAAAATATTCTTACTGTACAAGCGGAAGGAGAAAAGAATAAAAAATTGTTTTTTAATTGTTTTTAAAGGGAAATATTTAAAAATTGAATAGCAACGGCTTAAAATAAAGATTAAGAGCATTGTAATAGCTCAAAATTTTTGTTTTCTGACCGGTTACAAGATTTTCAGGTGGGACTGAAAAAAAAATGTCGCTTTAAAATGAAGCACCCTAATGTTCATACGTCAGTATGTGACACACTAGTAAGAATATTGTCAGATACGTCTACCCGCTGATACTTAGTTAATGAAATAGTACAAGAAATACAGATACGTTGGTTAGTGATATGAAAAGTACCCTAAAGGTATCTGGCGACCTAATTCAGTTTTCGATTTTTTGACACTTACGTCGTTATGTCATAAAGGGGACGATTTGTGTGCTGGTTTAAGTTTGGTCTAACAGTAATTATTATTTTTTAATCCAAAACCCTACCCTGTAACCATTTGCCCTTATTTTATGGATTGACCCTAAGGTGTTAAAATAAATAAATAAACAATAATAAAATAAATATGTTTATAAACAAACAATAAAAAATATTTCTTTTTTGAAGCAAAATGGTACAAGTGCATTTTATCATAAAAATAAGTTAAGTGCAGAGTTGGGTAGTAAAAGTGTACAAGTTGTGTAGTGTTAGTTAATACCTCCTTTCCTCTTTTATGCACCTGTACCCTTTTCCATCTCACCCCTTCAAATATAAAGTAATAGTATGCATGGTGTCCCATAATCAGCGTGAAATACCATGACAGCAGATTCTACGGACAAAAATAAGAAAAAAAGTTTCTATAAACATAGGCCGAGAAATGCTTTCTAAGGGAACTACAGCCCCTAAAAGAGGAGTTCCTGAAGATGGTTTTTATTTAATATATCCAAAACCGTTCCAGATAAAAAAGTAAATTTTTTAGAATTAATCAAACTTTATGGCCAATAAGATGTATTAATAACAATTCAAAATTTCCATGAGTGGTGGGTCAGATAGATAGGGTTAAAACCACCCTAACTTTTTTGTACGTGTCTCGTGCTAGTATTTGATGTCAGATTATAAAATTTCGGAGTTTTAAACACAAAAAAGGTCCTCTTGTTAAACTTTGATATTATCCACTGTTTTCGCTTAAAATACATTTAAAAATTACCTTACATAGCATAAAAGATCATAATGAATTCACAAGAGAGAAAAATTCAGTGTAGGCCATGGAACACAGCTGCCATCTTTAGGAAAAATTATTTAAGACAGGTAACACTTTCATGTAATATGTGACAGAGTGTTTAAAAATTGTCCATGGCCTACGCTGAATCTTTTTCTCTAGTTGTGATTTCATTTTCATTTCATTTTTATGCTATGTAAGGTAATTTTGAAATCGAGTTTAAGCGAAAACGGTACATGCCATTAAAGTTTATCAAGAGGACCTTTTTTGTGTGTAAAACTCTAAAATTGTATGATCTCATATCAAATCATAGCACAAGAAACGTACAAAAAAGTTAGGGTAATTTTACCCCCACTCCTTATCTATCTGACCCACCCCCAGTGATGTAACCGATACATTTTTTTCAGTATCTAGGTACCGATACAGATACTCTCTGGTAGATGTATCTGGGTACAGATACCGATACATTTTCCCAAAAGTATCTGAGTACAGATACAGATACATTCAAAAAGTATCTAAGTTACTTCCAGATACTATGTTAAAAAAACTTAAAAATTAAATAACAAAAAAAAATTTTTGGACCTTATAAACAAGCGTGTTAACTATAAAATAAAACTGTTTTGATAAAATTGACGAAATATCCATGAAAAACGGAAATAAATTTTATATTTCCGAGCCATATGAAAGCTTACTACAAAATTTGTAGTACAAATTCAAAATTATCGTTAGGTCTCTGGGTTCGGTACAGTGTTGCCAGATGCTTTTTCCTGTAAATCCATAGAGGGTGGGAAAAAGCGTTAAGCCGGATTTATAGATTGCCTTCTTTCCTCCCTCCCGTAAAAGATGAACAATACGAAAACAGTAGTTCAGTTTATAGATTAGGGTACGGGAGTCTATACACAGCACTACGGTTTTCGTATTGTTCATCTCTTACGGGAGATCAAAAATATCCAATGTAGGTATATATCCTGGATATCCATAGAGTATATCCATTGGATGTTCATTTTCCGTGTGGCCCACACGGTGTGGAGTTGCAATCAGGTTGGGTAAAATAAAATGTATCTTGTATCTAAGGATCTAGATACTTTCAAAAGGATCTAGATACTAAAGTAGATCCTGATTTTCTTAAGTATCTCGATACGTATCTAGGTACATAAAATGTATCTAGATCCAGTATCTAGATACATGTATCTCGATACATTACATCACTGCCCACCCCTTATAAAAAAATTTGAATTTGTTATCATTCCAACTTATTGGCCATAAAAAGTTTGATTGTATCCCAAAATTTCACTTTTCTATCCTAAACGGTTTTGGAGATATTAAATAAAAACCATCTTCAGGGGCTTCTCTTTCGGGGGCTGTAGCTCCCTTGGAAAGCATTTCTCGACCTTTTTATGGGACACCCTGTATTGTGCGAATAGTCGGAAAAAGAGGAGAATCCATGAGCGTGGAGTTTGCGACTGAAATCACCTCATTTAACCAATAATCGCACACAATATTATATTCAATCACCGCAAGTAATTGAAAGGAAATTTTATTTAATACTTTATTTAACATCTGACATCTGTCAAACCGTTTAACCTAATTTTTTCCCAATTTTAACTTAAAGCTTAACTTCGGCCCGTCAAATAAATCCCTAACAAAGAAGAATTGCGCATTTTATTTATAGATATTTATAGAAATAATAAAGCTGTAGCAAACAAGGGTTATAGTAAAATAAACATATACCTGGCTTCAAGCTTATATTCAACCTGGCGTTAAAGTTGTATATATCGATGCCGGGCATCTCCCCAATGAGAATGTTGACCATGGTATTTTCGGCGATCCATGCCTCCTCGAATTTTTTGGTCGTGACCAAATGTTCGATGTGCGCGGCCCATTCATCAATCCTGGTAAAACCGTTTTTGTCCACCAGGCCCTGCAAAATGTATGATAAATGGTGTTTAGAGCCGTTTGCGAACGCCCCCGATTTTATTTAATGAAGCCGTTGAATGGGGAACTCCGCTGTTACGGTATTTCACACGCGACTAGTTCATCAATTATTGTCGCTAGTCCGAACGCGTTTTTCCGGTATTACCCTTAAATTGCACAAAAAACGGACCGCTTAAGAGATTTGGCACACATTTCTCATTTGTGTAATTTTATAACATAGTTTTCTAATTAGAATATAGGTATAACTTTATTATTAAAAATATTTTTTTAGTACCACCTGTATATTTTTTATTTAAAAATCTCCTACCTACTTTTTTAAGAAAATTAATATTAATTATAAAGTTGTTCAAACGCCATTTTAGTTACGAGCGAAGCTTGCGGGCGAGTGTTTAATAAAAACGAGTCCCAGAGAAGTTTATAAAACGAGTTGCATACTATATTTTATCTACGATAAACACAAATAAGAATTTAAAGCCAATTTTAATTCATAAATATTTGACATATGACGAATTCAACCTTACTTTTTTGCAATTTATAATAAAGCTAACTTCAGCCCGTGAATAAAAAAAGCCATTGTTGTAACCTTCAGGCCATGACTAAAACGGCCCCATTCAGGGCCCCCTAAGCGGTGAAAATATCCTAATCGCGATTTTCTATTTGCTATTTAAATAACATTAAAAAATGTTTAACTTTAAAATTATATAACTCGATAACGGATCAATGGAGTAAAATGATCAGAACAAATATTTTCTGGTCATTTATAAACGCGCTACAACATTTATAATTATATAGTTAATCAGGCTGAAGGGCCCCGGTTGATGGCCTTTTATATGTTTTGTATTTTATGTTATACAGTGCCTACTCAATATGCAATAAAAACTATTTATTTATTTATTATTAAAGTTAATCTACTCGTTTTCAAGCTTAAATAAAATATATAATAATATAATGGTATAATAATTTTTTAGTTTTTCTTACTTTTTATGTAAAACTATCGGATTTATAATAAAATGTTTTATTTTCCATAATAATATGTTATTTTTTCTACTTCCACCTTTAAAACGCCCTTTATCGTACATGTTTTCATGACACTAAGTGACCTTTTAAATACACATTGACAAGTTGTGGCTTTATGGCGCTTTAGTCACGGGCTGAAGTTAGCAACAGGTTTTTAGTCACGGGCTGAAGTTAGTTTTAAGTTAGTTGACAGTTGTCAAATGTCATACAATCGCTAAAATAAAGTGCCTTTCTTGTAAAATAACAATACAAAAGAATTAAATAGTTTCTCAACGCCAATATTTAAATAGTTTATATGAACATTGTACTGACCTTTTAATTTCGCCGGCAGTAAACTATAAGTTACATTCGGGCACGGACTCCAATGTAAAGTGCTCATAAAACATTTTCTTTACTTTCACTATAAAAAAACTGTCAATCTGTGTTTATAAAATTTAAAAATTTGACATTTGACGGTGACACACAGATTTAAATATTGTTTCATAGATGGCGCTCTATAAAAATAATTGATATAAATCATTTTAAGATAATAATAAGTATTTGTCGTAAAAAAGTATAGTTTGCATCTCGTTTATAAACTTTTCTATACACTCATTAATTTAAGAACTCGCTCGCAAGCTCGCTCGTGCCTAAATTAAATTCGTGTATAAAATGGCGTTTATCAAACTTGATACATAATATACTATTATAATTTTTAAATCCAATAGTTAAAACAGTTTCCTACTGTTTTTGCACATTAATACTGTTGCAACAGTAAAAACTAATGAAAACTAATTAGAAAAAAGCAATTTTATAGCAAAAAAATAATTCGTTTAACCAGTAATTTTAAAATATTGTTTAAGAAAATAAAATGATCTACAAAAAAGGTACTATGACATTTTGTAAAAGTCCGATGGTTTTACAGGAAAAGTAAGAAAAACTTATATTTACTATAAATTTAGCTTGAATAACTTTTAAACGAGTATATTTATTTTTAAATAATATGAGATCTTATTTGTAGAGGGTTTTATTTTCTATAAAAATATGTTTTGTTTATTTCAGCCCATTCATCCGTTTACAAATTATATATAATTATTATTAAGGTAGCTCATCGCGATTTTCTATTTTTCATTTAAATTTTAAAATTATTTTCAAAGAGCACCTTTGTATATACTATACAAAACTGCTCTTTTAATTATACCTAAATATAATTTTAAATTTTTAAAAAACCCCATGTTATTTAAATGAAAATCGCGATGAGCTACCTCTTAATAATAATAATAATAGGATCCCAGTAATGCTTTATTTATTTTTTATTTATGTTTGTTATGTGGGTCATTCCCACAAAAAAAATAATTTCCTTTTTTATTATAACTGTATGTGAGTGCATTAATTTAAAAAGGTTTTTATCTACACTGAGAAAAAAATGGGACAAATAAACTGTGTAGCTAATACTTTTATTTATAGTGAATATATTGTTTATAACCTCTAAATAGTCGAAATAATAACGATAAATATACTTAAGTAAAACTTTATGTGTCGGGAATAAAAATATATTTAGGATAAATAAACTGTACCCTTGTCCCATATTTAAATATTTTTTTTATTTGGGAGCAATAAACTTTTTTCTCAGTGTATAAATATAAGAAATTTTTTTGACAAAACCCAAACTTGTATAGGCCCCCAGTTAGTTTCTTTATTAAATATAACCAAAACCGTAAGTACACAAAGTGAGACATTTAAAAATTGTAATTATTTAGGAAAACAACTTTAAATTTAATTATCCATTTTATCGTGAACAGAAAGAAGATTTATAAATGTTAAAATATTAAGAAAAAGTTATGGTCCTTTTTTAAGGTCAAGGACTTTTTGGACCAAAGATGCAGATGAACATCAGTGGTAGGTTTAACAAATTTGAAGTAAATCCGCACATTGGAAAAAAGTAGAACCACCCCCTTAATTTTTTGTGCACAATTTTCGGACACCCTGTATAGAGGATAAAAATTTAGTCTGGCTTTCTTTGCTGCAGGTGGCCCATCGAAAACAGTCCAGTAAGGTTTACGGCTTTGGATGTGAAAATATTGTTTTCAGTGGGACATATTTACACATTAATTTCATCACTGTAACTTCAACCCCTTTGCGGAAGTGGCACGTTATTTGTGTTTAGTGTTTAGTACTTTAACTAAGTAATCATGATGAATTTTTGTAATTTTAATTGTAAATGTAGGTAATACAAGAACTAATCGGAAGTAGCATTTTGATGTTTTGCAAAAGGATCGAAAACGGGGTTACATTGAACTCCAGGGTAACATTGTACAATTTTGCAATGAAGATTATATTTTTGTACAAGTTGGCCTGAACATTTTTTTATGGTAAAAATAAAATATAGGTAATAAAAGGGTGGTGTATTTTATTAACATACACGGTACACAAGTAAAAAATGATTTAAAAAAAAACAATTATTTTTGTTTGGGACCAATATATTTTTTTGAGGGTTGCAAATATGTTTCCCTTGAAGTTTGATCTCAGGTTCTTAAAATTAACAAAAAAATCAAAAAAAATTTCTGAAAAAAAAATATAGGTACAAAAAAATCTCTCTAACTTTGGTCTACAATCTGCTTTCTGAAAAATATATCCTTTAATGTCTAGTTTTATACGAAACTAGTACCTATTTGAACCTTATTCTACATAAGAACGTAAATGATTCGGGCTCTAAAATATTTTTATTATACAGGGTGTTTCATAATATATGCGCAGGACTTCAGGATGTGATAGCTCATCCAAAAAGATGAAAAAAGTCGCTATTAACTTACGCTCTAAAATGCACAATTTTCGAGATACAGGGTGTTGAAATTTTAGAAAAAAATTCGTTTTTTTCGAATATCTCCGGAACCGTTTATCGTACAAAAAACAGCTTTTGTAAGCATTTTCTAATCAAAATAAGCTATGTTTTGTGCCAGAAAAAATTTTTTTTCCTCATAATTGGTGGAGATTTTGAAGGGGTAGCGGGTGTTTTTCTCCTTAACTTCTACGCCCCTGAAAAAAGTACGGTTTTGGGAGGCCCATTCGAACCGCCAATGTTTTCTTCACAAAAAAGGTACTCTTGGTCATAAGCTCTAAACTTGACCGTTTTCGAGAAAAATCAACTTTTATGTTTAAAAACATGGACAATTTAAAAAAAAAATAATTTTTTTTTACTAATTAAACAAAATTTATTTTAACATTAGAACAAGTAACAAAACCAAACCATAATTTCAAAATAAAAAATGATTCAAAAGTTGTCTTTGCTAAATTCTCCAAACCGTAAAGGTAACGCATTTCGCACATTTCAGCATTTGTGTAAAAAATCATTTTTTATTTTTTTTTTAATTTTGCAATTATCGTTTGGTTTTGTTACTTTTTCTAACGTTAAAATAAATTTTGTTTAATTAGTAATAAAATTTTTTTTTCAAAAAATTGACCATGTTTTTAAACATAAAAGTTGATTTTTCTCGAAAACGGTCAACTTTAGAGCTTATGACCAAGAGTACCTTTTTTGTGTAGAAAACATTGGCGGTTCGAATGAGCCTCTCGAAACCGTACTTTTTTCAGGGGCGTAGAAGTTGAGGAGAAAAACACCCGCTACCCCTTCAAAATCTCCACCAATTATAAAGAAAAAAAATTTTTTTCTGGCACAAAACATACCTTATTATAAGTAGAAAATGCTTACAAAAGCTGTTTTTTGTACCATAAACGGTTCCAGAGATAATCGAAAAAAACGATTTTTTTTCTAAAATTTCAACACCCTGTATCTCGAAAATTGTGCATTTTAGAGGGTAAGTTAATAGCGACTTTTTTCATCTTTTTGGTTGAGCTATCAGATCCTGAAGTCCTGCGCATATATTATGAAACACCCTGTATAATAAATGTCAATTTTTTTTAGGAACGTGGGGTAACATTGAACTGCAGGATTCAGCGTGTCTAAGCGACATCGCTAGTGATCCATGCTAATATTGTTGTCTGTCGTGGCTAAGAGTATTATAAAGACTGCCGTTCACATTTTTCCCTAATTTTTTGTTATTTTACTTGCGAATTACAAATTTTGTTTAGTCTAGGAAAAGATTTTAATACCCTGTATTAAGGAATATAAAGTTTAATAAAAAAATATGAACAAATATTTTGTCAACCTTGGCATTGAAAAAATTAATTAACTGACCCCCTACTAATTTTTACCGATTGTTTCAATGGCGGAGTTACATTGAATAAATAAGTAACCTGTGGGCACGTAGACACCTATTTATATTACTGTTCAATGTTATCCCCAATCACGGGGTAAAATTGAAAAGCAACTTTTGTATATCTATATCTACATAGCTACGCACAATTTATAATCTAAAATATGTAAAGTCATGGTTCCATAGTGACCCATAAGGGGTATTTTTTTGTTTCGATTAAACCACAGGTACAACAGTTATTCAAAAAAATATGAAGAAAATATGTAACCCCGTTTTACGGTACGTAAGTATTTTGTTGTTGCAGAATTAACTATATATAACTTAATCTAAAATAATTTATATTTAAGTTTACAATTTTTAAGAAATATACCCCAAAATTATAGTTATACAAACATAATCTTAAAAGCAAACATTTTTATAGTCCTTTAAATGCAAACGCCGACAACTGCATTTTGAAATGATTAAAGACAAAATTCATGTATTTATGGCGACATAACTTTCATAATGCGGTTAATTAAATTCAACCCCGGATTTCCTCTCAAGAAACACCCAACAACAAAACAAATCTTTCCACGGTTTTTAATTTAGATATTTTTAACATTTTCCGGACTCATTAAAAACACTTGGTTGTAACATACGCGTTTGACAGCTGGTTATTAAAAGCTGCTCTTCTGATAGGATGATGACGGCCTCGTGGCGATGCTTTTTTAGCGTACATGCATGCTTTATGTCATTTTATGACATTTATAGTTACTTATGCTTTATGGCCTTCTCGCATTTTTTTGCTTGTCGTTTAACCCTGTTAAATTATTTCATTAGTGTGTTGTGCACCTATATTTATTTGTAAGTTTAAAATAGTTATTAATTATTTATATTAAATACTTGCTTTATGCTAAAGACACATCTTGAACTTAAATCTAATTATTCATACCTACTCTTTGTTTTTGATGTTGATTTTGTCTGTCTGACAGACAGACTCTGTCATGCTTTTATAGTATTTTCCTAGTAATTTTAAGTTTGTAAGTTGGCACTCTTAAATTACCACATGAGTAGGAGAGACATTTTAAACGTTTTTGTATTATTTAAGTTAGACAGGGCTGAAATAATCCCATTTGGACCTAAAGGTCACTAAAGGAGCTAATCTTTTTGTCAAAAATTAATTTTCGTAAGTAATATCATAAGGGCATTTAATTTTTCCGAAAAGAATCGAAAAAATACGTTGCTAAGTGATATTTTAACAAAAAGCATGAGTGCTGGTGGCAACAAAAATCCGAGTCGAAGAGGAGGATTTTTGCACCTGCACGAATGCTTTTTGTTAAAAAATATTACTTAGCATTGTGTTTTTTCGATTTTTTTCACAGGAAAAATTAGATGCCCGAATGGTATTTGACAAGACTATTTCATGAGTAACAGTTAACAATTAAAATATAAATTGCAATTTTTGGTGACAACAGCTGTCAAGTTTTGCCGCGGGTAAACTCGAAAAAACTGCTGACAGGTGCTGTCACACAGTTTTTTCACCTAGAAACCATTTGTAATTCAAAATTGCGCGTTTGTGGTTGGTGGAAATTAAGACGAGGGAAATAGTCCCTAGTAAAAAATATTCTTTAAGTACTTCTAATTACTCCTTTAAAATATAAAGTTAATCGAAAAACGTTTAGCCGATCCCATTAGATTTAGAATATTAATGATTTAAACGATCGTTTTTTTTCGAAAAATTGACTTTTTATTACTTGTGCAAATAAAGATATGGGGTCGGCTAAACTAATTTTTTTTGAGTAATAAAAAGTTCATAAACAATCTTTTTTTGCTGGCGCAAATAAAAAATAAAAAAGAACTTTTGACCATTTTAAAGGCCCGTGGGCCCGGTTAAATTTTGACTTGGTCGGCTATTTTTATATAATAATATAAATATAAAATCAAGTAACCATTTTTAAAACAGTTTTCTCCGTGTATCCTAAATTGCATGCTAGGAGTATATCAGATAAAATTGTTTGGATTGTTTTACTTTAAAATTATTTCGAATTAAACGTCAAAGAAGGGAAACTAAATTAAAAACACTTCTAAGTGCTTTTCTCTATGAATGCACTTCATAAATTAGTATGGAGGTTATCCTAATATTTACTTGGTAAAAGTTAAAGTTTAACTTTACGTACCAGATGCAGCGCAAATGGAGCATAACTTCTAATATAATTAATTGGGGATATGAATGAGTTACCCAGCCCTATTCCTTTTAGATTCCACCTGTTCTTTTTCTTCTGTTTTTGCTCCTGTAAACATTAAATTTATCTCAAATTAAACTACAACCCGGTCCAAATTATTACCATCCCGTCAGTTTTTAAGATTTTAAATACAATCTTTTTTTAAAAGAAAAATAAAAAAATCTATATTTCATTTTATAAGCAAAAATATAAACATTAAAAACTTATACATTTGGGTGATCTTAATAATAATATTGAGGTTTAGAAGTGATAATTTGGACCCTATATGTATGTATGTTTACTTTCATTATTTGATAGGCGAATTCGACTACCATTTTGCCGCCATACGATTCTCCGAAAATATAAATTGATGTTTTAAGGAACTCCGGTTTTTCCTTTATGAAAATCTCAAAGAATCTCATCAAATCATCAGCTACATCCTTGTTATTCTGCGGCAGCGATGTGGAATTATCTTCGACGTAGCTGTAACCGACACCTACGGGATTGTCGATGAATAAAATATTGAAATCCTCTGCCGGAGTGTAGTCCTTTTCTTTGAAGTTGCTGTCCAGTGGACCGATTTCAACGAAGTTTCCATAGCCGCTTCCCGGCATTCCAGGACCACCTAACCAAACAAAAACCTTTATTAAATGCATAATTAACATTAAATAAATTTTATTAAATTTTAATGACAAACATTTTTTTTTAAGAGTATACCAATTTTCATATGAAAACATTCATAATCATATACTGGGCGGTTCGAGATATGAATATTTGAAAGTGTCTAATTTTGCAAAAGTTACTGATGTACAAAATAAACATTTTGGTAAAAATAATATTTAAAAAAAAATCCTTTCACAGTTCCAGACCCATGGCCAACATAAAAATTTATAATATTTGAGCTGGGGCAAAAAACGGTAGTAATATAAACATTAGGGAGCTTCAAACAAAAAAAAACATTTTTTTTTCGCTCTTACCCTCTCAAATGTTTCTATTTAATATAAAAAAAAATCCTCACCAAATATGGGCGTTCCAGCTCAACTCTAAGAGGTCGAGTTTTTATTTTAGTTTCCCATTTAATTAACATGGGAAAAATAATTTTATGTTTGGAATTTTATACCTTTGTATCAAATGTAACGCTTTACAAAAAAGGTCTCTTATTATTTTTCGATAAATTGATTTCTTCTAGAGTTATTCGAGGTCAAAGTTTGATTAACACCAAATTTTCTGGTTTTTTTTTAATTTTATGGTACAATTAGCAGACGGGAGGTGAAAGGGGGCAAAACAAGGCAGTGAGGGGGCAAAATGGGGTACCCAAAAAAATTTGTAAAAAAATTATTTTTTTAGATTGTTTTTTTTTGGTTTCTAAGTTATTTGAAAATATATTGACTCACAAGTTCACGCTTTTAATCGAAAATAATTATTCTGAGCCTGTAGAGCGATAAAAAGGAAGGTACAAATTTGGAAAACTTTTCATATGCTCAATTTTTGGGTACCCCATTTCGCCCCCCCCCCCGCTGCCTTGTTTTGCCCCCTTTCACCTCCCGTCTGCTAATTATACCATAAAATTAAAAAAAAAACAGAAAATTTGATGTTAATCAAACTTTGACCTCGAATAACTCTAGAAGAAATCAATTTATCGAAAAATAATAGGAGACCTTTTTTGTAGAGCGTTACATTTTATATAAGAAACTGTAATGATCATTACCATAAGTTACTTTGATACAGAGGTATAAAATTCCAAACATAAAATTATTGTTCCCATGTTAATTAAATGGGAAACTAAAATAAAAACATCGACCTCTTAGAGTTGAGCTGGAACGCGCATATTTGGTGAGAATTTTTTTTATATTATATAGAAACATTTAAGAGGGTAAGAGCAAAAAAAATAAAAAAAAATTTTTGAAGCACCCTCATAAACATACAAACATTTTTGAGCTAAGTTGTTTATTTTTATTTTGTGTAAGTTTTTCAAAGCTAAGAACTTTAATAAAAAAAAACAAGCAAAATAAGCGAACCCCGGTAAATGTCAAATATAAAAATATTTGTATTTTAAAAATTGACCGGAGCCCCCATTTAGCTTGTTTTTTTTAAATCAATGTGCCAAATTATAGTTGGGCTCTAAAAAATTGGCTCAAAAAAAATTGTTTTTAACCTTTTTCTACCCTCGCCTGAATATTATTATTTTTATATTTTAGATGCCTTTGGGGCAATGGAAGGAATTTAAAAAATATTATTTTTTTTCACCAAAATATTTATTTTTATCATACTTAAGTTTTCTATATACAGGCGTTTTCAATTTTAAAAATATTCATATTTCGCACATGTTAGATATCGTTTTATATTTCACACGCCCTTTCGTGCAGTAGTTTTTTATTTAAATACAAAATTACATAATTTTTTGTTAGAATAACAAAAATAATAAAAGAAAAAAGAATACTAATCTATACACCTACTTCCATACAAATTTTGTTCAAAATTAGCATTAACACTTTCTAACATTTTGAAGTATTTTGAGCATTTTGAGTTATTTGACTACATTCATCCACGATACGTTGTCGCAACTCTTGTAGAGATCTCGGCTCTGGTGCGTAAATTTTACTTTTTAAATGACCCAACATAAAAAGACTAGGGAAGTAAAATCTGGAGAATTTGCCGGCCAATTCAGAGCTCCTCTTCGCCCAATCCATTGTTTTTCATGATACTTAAGCCCTTTAAATGAGGTATCACTTGCCCTATCATTCTTATTAAAATTTTTTCGTTGGCCACCCTGTATAAAAAGACTTCAAATTTGTACGCAGTTCAAATGTTAAACTAATACACCCTGCCGAAATTTAATACACATAACCTATAATGTCAATCGTTCAGTACCAATTCAACACTCTTACGGTCGAGAAGTAATAGTTTCTCCGCTCTGAACTATAAACAATTATACAGTGCATAGTCAGTGCATGTAAAACCTAATCTAAAAGTTTAAAAGCGCAAAGTGAACTGTCACCCCACCTGTCACGGAACCACCCACCTGAACAGGTAGTTCATCGTGGCATGAACTTGGAAGAAACCAATTACAAGGGGACAAGGAGCCATATTCAGATAAGTTTTTAATATTTGCACTTCGCTATTTGCGTAAATAAGAATTCACCGAGCCTAGTAGGCTCAGCCCACGTTTGTGTTTATACCTTCCCAAGTAACAAATCCGTAGAAATCAACAAGACAGAATAAAATAGTTGAACACGGTTAACGAATCCCTACATTATATAGACCAAAGATACCGAATGCACAGGCAGTATAGGATTTAACAAGTAGTACTTAATAAACACATAAATCTTAAGTAAGTAATCAAACAATTTTCTAATCTTTGCCTTAAATAAACAAACTGGGAGACTTTCTCGAGTATAAAAAAAATAAATAGTAGAAGCAATAAAAATAAATACAAATGCTATTTCTTAATTGTTAAATAAGAAAAGAAAACGTAAACACAATTTCTTCCACAAAAAGAAAACAACGAATAGTCCTTTTCAATAAATAGTTCCTACTACTTAATAGTTAAATTAAATAATTATAGGGATTGCTTGGGTGAGTAAATAAAAACTATTCTAAAAAAACCCAATAATGACTGTTGCATTCGGTAAAATTTGTCTAACCATTAGCGACTGCCTTTCCGCTGGGACAAAGAGACTCTTTGAAAGAGTCAATAACTAATAACGAGTCATTTTAAGTGTTTCTAAGAGTGTGGGGAAAGTAAAAACAACACCCCAGTGGGGCAAACAACTGCGTGCAGCAGATTCCGAATTTCAGCAGACCGGACAGAGACCCGGATGAAATACAAGACCAGCAAGGATGTCCAAGTAACGTACTAAAAACCCATGCCTCATTCATGAACCCCAAATGAATGAGATCATTACTAATACCCTGGTTGAGGGGAAGTCCGGATTGTACTAAGTTTTGGGTCAGTTCAAGGCCCCCAAAAACCAACTGTTGTCCCTTCTTGTCCTACACTCCACTAGCCTAAATCGGGCGTATGGTCGGCCCGGCGACAAAATTCCGGGAATGGCCTTCACCATCGACACTGTCATCCACGACCTCCTAGGGAAGATTACCTGCCGGGGTGAAAATTCGGATCCACCAAACACAGGTAACGCTGTGCAGTGGCGGGATACGTATAGAACCGAAAGGGGGTAAAATAACCCTAGAAGATCAGTGTAAGGCGTAGCCGATGGGGCCTGCCATACGTTCTTATACTCATACTCATAACCTATAATCTCAATCGTTATTAATTATTTACATGTAAGTGCACTTGACAAAATGTCGCAAACTCAAAATATCCATGTAACTAGAGAATTATTAAATGGTCGAAAAAATAAAATATTATAGATAAGGCGCAGATAGCCGAGTATACATTTCACTGCCGAGGCAATTAATAAGCTTTTGCAACCTAGTTTTATGAACTATTTTTTTTTTAAGAAATTAATTGCAATATTTAAAAAAAATTACATCATTTTAAGGTTAGATTCAACTAACATAATGACATTTTAGCTTCATTTTTGTACACAAGGTTTATAATAATTTAACTTTTGAACTAAGTAGTAATAATAGACTTATGAAGGTTATAATATAAAAATTATTCTACGCTTAAAAAAAAATATTATATTAATAGGTATACAAATGTTAATGTACTATTTTCATTTAATTTAAAATACTCAGTTGGGATTTAGGTTCATAAAATTAGATAAATAAAGTTTGTACTCTAATTCAATAGACTTGTTTTAATTGATAAGGTCCTAAATACTTCGTCCAAGTTAACGGAATTAAGGAATTCGAACAAAGGGCAAAACCATAGCCTAGTCTAGACTTTGAAAGAATGCCTGTCGAAAAGTAATCAGAAAAACAGTGTTCGAAAACATTTAAAGAATTCCAATAGATGCCGTTTTTAGTAGAGGCAAAAGCGTCAAAACAAATATATTCGAAAAAAAAATCTAACAAAAACGTGTTAAATTCATTTAAAAATTAAGGTTAATCTTTATTCAACGACATAATATTTTAGTATTTAGTATTTATTTAATTTAAAGAATCTGTAATCTGTTGTTTTAATCATTTTCTTTGGCAAAAAATATAGTTTTAAATTTAGCACAAAAATGTATATTTTGGGTATGTTAAATATTGCTTCAATTAAATTAAAAAATGTATTGTTACAAAAACGTTAAACAATATAAAACAAAATGTGTAGTTTTTTATAAATGCTACTAACGACTTGAAAAGAATATATTTGTCAAAAAGGTCCAAATTGATTTAAAAAATCAGGTTTATCTAAATTTAATATCGTTACGTTCAATTTGCCCTCATCACCTCTAACCTCATTACGGTGGTGTTCGTCCGAAAGTAAATGGGTTAAACTGACCCCTGTCGCTGTGTGATTATTGAATAACAAAACTGATTAGAAGTGAACAGGAGCGTAACAGAGGATTGTTTACGTCAGTAAAATGAATTTGAGTGGATCAAACGGTGCGTTTGTGAGCTTTGATGACAATGTATACCGCCTGATTTAGAAAAAAGAGTGTGCTCAATATAATAATTTGTTAGTAATCAAATTAATCAAAAAAATATTTATAATGAAAGGATATCCGATATCCGATATCTTTTAACACATTTACATTTACATTTATCACTAAATTATCTCATACTATGCATTTACTACCATCACCTTGAAGCCATATGATTAACGGTCGGTCCGTATAATTGTCCACGTCTGCATTCGTGTAGTAAAGCCACCAGAACATGTGCGCCCCCTCCCGGATGTTTGCATGCCCCCATTCCTGACGGAATGTCGAGTTCCTCTTCTCCTCGTCATCTTTAAAGTATTCTGAAATAAACCAGAACTTTTTGTAAAAATTAATATTACTGTGGTTTTTAGAATACAGCAGGTTTATTTCTTTCTGAAACTGGCAATGGATTTAATGTAATAAAATTTAGGAAAAATGATACTTAAAGAATGAAATAATAACTGTAAATTGCAAAAAAATATATAAAGGTATGGTATTTAATTTTGTATCTGTTTTTAATAAATTCAGTGGCTCGGATCTAGGGAGAAGCCTTGTCACGGCCGGCAGTTTAGGGGGCAGCCAAACAAACATCTGGATATCTATATTTTTAAATTTTACATTCTACACGCAATTAAAACAGTAACCATTGAACATCTACTTATTTTTAATTTAAAATATTAATTAATGTGCAAAATATATCACTACAGTTCCTGCAGGAATAATAATAGTGGCATGACACTATTATTTGATGTCACAAAACTAGCTATTGTTGTTGTGGAAGTAACCCGTGATGTTTTATTAGAAATTGTAAGATTTTAAATGGTACACCGACACTGATATTGATATTGTATAATAAGTTGATTAGTGTTCTGTGATCAATGTTTACTGTATTTTTTCTCAGTGTATATTCAAATATAGAGGTGTTATGTTATGTTAGGGTGCTATTGAACAAATGTCAAATCAAGTGATTTTTAGTATTTTTTCTGAACCAACAAAAATTAAAAAAAGACAGAAATTCAAAAATTATTGAATCAAAACGGAAACCTGAAAATATATTAATGTAATTTGATATACCAATGAAAATTATATAAATATAATTTTGCATATTGTTAAATAAGTATAAGTAAAAAACAATGACTAAATTGATTTTTTCAGGGATTTTTTTAAATGCGGCGATAATATTTAGGTATATTGCCGCGGCAGTTTGTCAGCACTAACTTTAATATCTACTATAAAGCATTCCCAGCAACAAAACATTTTTTTCCATTTTATAACAATATGTTCGTTTTTTTTTTCAATTTTTGTAGGGAAAACTCATTTTTTGGGCAACAATTCTATCCGGAAATTTTAAATATATCTAATATTGGCACTTTCAAAAACATTGATTAAGCCTTAAAATACAACAAAGATTTAGGTAATTCCACGGATGGTTGTTTTTCAAGGCCAATTTTTAAATCTCTCAAGTGCTCTCATTGCTCTTAGCATATTGCAAATGATTTAGACAAATAATTTGGAAATTGCATTCCCAAATATGCGTATTGCGTTGCGTATATACGTACTGTACTCTCCCCACTGCAAGTTGTAAGTTTTAGTAAATTAAAATTATTATTATTAAGAATTATATACGTCCTTTCATGAGTCAGGAGAGATTGCCTGGACTTGCAATGTTGTCAATTAAGAACACTTTTGCACAAGCAATACATTTTGAGGATTTTTAATTCTAGTTAGGCTTTTTGTTTTATGTAGGTACCAGATACCCAAATATATCTTTGCAGATACCTACTAATACTAATTTTCTAAGTAAAATAAATAAATTGTTTTTATCTCGACGCGGTCTATAATTTAAACTTTATTGTTGTCAACATTCGATAAAGATATACCTTGTTATGGCCTAGGCCGATAACATTTTTTATGAGGCAAGTAATTAGTTCGTTTTTTTCTCGCTAGGGGTATTGTTTTGACAAATTAATTCTTTTTTAAGAAATTAACGTACTAAACTAAATCAGGTCCTATATCTATCCTCCACCATGGATAAAGAGACCTCATTTTTACAAAGCAATTTGCAACATAGCAAAGGGGCGATTTCCTTAATAGATCGTCACATAGCTATGGGGCAGACACATATATATCTCCTACAAGAACCTTGGTCATACAAGGGTCGCGTAAGGGGCCTAGGTAGATGGGAAAGATCTCTCTTCTACAAGAGGAACGACCAACTAAATCCAAGGGCTTGTATCTACGTCGACAGACGGATCGAGTCCTCACTAATAGCTAATTTCTGTTCTAGGGACTTAGTAGCGGTGAAACTATGCCTTAAGGACAGACCAGGACAGAGCACATCCTTGGTGGTATGCTCGGCCTATCTGCCCTATGACTCGACAGACGATCCTCCAACACAGGAGCTCATCGATTTAGTGGAATACTGCAGCACATTGGGCCTCCCGCTGATCATCGGATGCGATGCCAACGCACACCATACGGTGTGGGGAAGCACCGACACGAATCTGAGAGGGCTCAGCCTCTTAGAGTATCTACAAACTACCGGTCTGGAAATCCTAAACCGCGGCACTACACCGACCTTTGTCACGTCACGAAGACAAGAGGTGATAGACTTGACATTGGGCTCCCTCTCCATGGCCCCGATGACAAGAAATTGGAAGGTGTCTGAAGAGCCATCCCTGTCAGATCACAGACACATTCTCTTTAGCTTAGACCTAAGTCACGATGCTGGGCTCAGTAGGTTCAGGAACCCCCGGAACACTAACTGGGACCAGTATGTTGAGATGCTAAAGACTAAGCTAGCGGACTCTTCCATGACGTGCCGCAGCTCTCGGCAAGTGGAGGAAACAGCCAAATTCGTACGCGAGGCAATCATCACATCGTACGAACGAAGCTGCCAGCTTCGGGTCTATCGAGGAAAAAAAGAAAACCCCTTGGTGGAACTTTGACCTCGATAAGGCTCGCAAGGAAACCCGCAGGCTCTTTAACAGGGCCATGCGATCTAAATCGCCTGCGGATTGGGACAGCCACAAGCAGTCTTAGCGCAGGTACAAAGATCTCATAAGAAGGTCTAAGAGGGAATCGTGGAGGACGTTCTGCGGTAACGTAGACGAGCTTCCAGCAGCCGCCAGGCTTCAAAAGATTCTCTTAAAGGATCCGGGACGAGAGCTGGGGACATTAAGGCTTCCCTCCGGTGACTATAGCACCACCGCGGAGGAGGCACTTAAATGGCTCCTGGAAACTCACTTTCCAGGCTCAAAAATCCTGCAAAATGTTGAATCACCAAGGCGAGCTCCACCAGCGGGCGTAAGACCGACTGACTGGAAGTTAGCTGCAAAGGTAGTGACAGAAAGGTCCATAAAGTGGGCCATCCACTCATTTGGATCTTTTAAAAGCGCGGGACCAGATGGCATCTTTCCGGCTCTCTTACAAAAGGGACTAGAACCACTGACACCGCACTTGATACACCTCTTCAGAGCCTGCCTGGCACGAGGCTACGTGCCACAATCCTGGCGAAAGGTTCGAGTGGTGTTTATCCCCAAGCCAGGACGTTGTAACTACGATACGGCAAAGGACTATAGACCCATCAGTCTATCCTCGTTTCTTTTAAAAACTATGGAGAAACTGGTGGACATATTTATTAGGGACAGGGCACTAAAAAGAATTCCCATGCATCCCAATCAACACGCCTATAGGACAGCCATATCGACGGAGACCGATCTTCACAGCCTTGTGACAAGACTAGAGAGAGGGACTCGTCCTAAAGAGATGGCTCTGGGCACGTTTCTAGATATTGAAGGAGCTTTCAACAACACCTCCTTCGAATCGATAAATAGAGCTGCAGAAGGCTTTGGCATAGAGAACACCATTGTCAAATGGATCCGTGTCATGCTGGAAAGCAGGATCATTACAAGCTCGATTGGAACTACGGAGATCAGCTCAACCGTAGCCAGAGGCTGCCCGCAAGGAGGAGTACTATCGCCCTTGCTGTGGTGCCTAGTGCTGGATGGGCTACTTCGTATCCTAAACGAGGAAGGCATATACACTCAAGGCTACGCGGACGACCTCGTCATCGTCGTAGCCGGAAGGGTACCAAACACTATTAAAGAGATCATGCAAAGAGCTCTTAATAAGGTCGAAAGGTGGTGCAACGATCACGGACTATCCGTCAATCCGGATAAGACAGAAGTAGTACCATTCACCAACCGAAGAAACATTAACCTTGAGGGGCTCACGCTCTTTGGATCAAGACTGATCCCATCCAAATCAGTCAAGTATCTAGGAGTCATCATTGACTCCAGGCTGACCTGGAAGGAACATGTCAACAGGGTCGTCCAGAGGGCCACTCATAGCCTATGGGCATGCAGAAGGACCATTGGACGCACCTGGGGCTTACAACCCCACATAGTGCACTGGCTTTACACAACAGTCATAAGGCCAATGATCACATACGGCAGCCTTGTTTGGTGGAATGCGTTAAGCAAGCCCACCTACAGGAAGAAGATGGACAAGCTCCAACGATTTGCCTGCATGGGCATAATTGGAGCTTTCAGAACCACTCCAACATTGGCAATGGAGGCCATACTGGGACTGGCGCCTCTACATCTCTTTGTGGAGGCACGGGCTCGGGAGGCCTCAGTCAGATTCAACGATTGGGGACAGTGGACTCACGGGGGGGGGAAACTCAGGGCATGCAAGGGCCTGGACTGAGACTATCAACCGGGACCCCCTTCTCACAAGAAGGGATGCAATGCCAAAGACGTCTACCCCCCTCAGGAGATATAAAGTGGTTTTCCCCTCCAGAAACGACTGGAGCGAGCCTGACCCAGGCTTTCTCAAACCGGAAGGGCTCATCTGGTATTCAGACAGGTCTTTAATGAAAGAAGGTGCAGGAGCTGGTGTATATGGAGAGCGACCTGGGGCGAGAATAAGCCTTGCACTAGGTCGATACCCAACGGTATACCAGACTGAAATCTTTGCCATCCAGATATGCGCCCAAGAGAATCTCCAGAGAGGCTACTCGGGTAAACATATCTACATATGCAGCGACAGTCAAGCAGCACTCCGGGCTCTTCACTCGGAAAGGGTCAACTCGAGACTTACACTGGACTGCATAAAAACCCTCGAACTACTCAGTGTGCTCAACAAGGTTAACCTTATCTGGGTACCGGGTCATCGAGGCATCAGAGGCAACGAGGAAGCAGACCAGCTGGCTCGGGAGGGCAGCAACACGGCCTTCTTGGGGCCAGAACCTGTCATAGGGGTCGCCTCCTGTCTGGTAAAAACTAAGATCAGGAACTGGACTAACGACCAGTTCCAG